CAATCGACTGCCCTTCGGAATTAAGACCGCACCAGCGATTTTCCAGCAAGTAATGAACAAAATGGTGTCTGGACTCAGAGGAGTGACTACGTACTTGGACGACATCCTCGTGAGCGGCAAAACAGCAGAAGAGCACAAAGAAAACTTGTTCGCCCTATTCGAAAGAATAGCAGACTATGGATTCAAAGTTCGTCTGGAAAAATGTGCGTTTTCCAAGCCGGAAATCCGTTACCTTGGTTTTATCGTGGACAAAAATGGAAGAAGACCCAATCCGGAAAAGATCGAAGCAATAAAGAACATGAGCGAACCGAAAAATATTGCCCAACTAAGAGCGTTCCTCGGCATGGTGACATACTACTCGGCTTTTGTACCCTCTATGAAGGATCTACGTGGACCCCTGGACGCACGGTTGAAGAAGGATGCGGTGTGGAAATGGTCTTCAGAAGAACAAGAAGCGTTCAAAAACTTAAAGGAAGTGTTATCAAGTGACATGAACCTGGCCCACTACGATCCACGGCAGAAACTTGTTGTTGCAGCCGATGCTAGTGACTACGGAATCGGATGTGTTATTTCACATCGCTACCCCGATGGCTCAGAGAAACCAATCGCACATGCCTCTCGATCGTTATCAACTGCTGAGAAGAACTATTCACAAATTGAAAAGGAAGCTCTTGGAATTGTATTTGCTGTCAAGAAGTTCCACAAATACTTGTTTGGAAGAAAATTTCTATTGCTGACAGATCATAAGCCTTTACTAGCGATTTTTGGCGACAAGAAAGGAGTTCCGATCTATTCCGCAAACCGACTCGTGCGATGGGCAACAATTTTGCTGGGATATGACTTCGAAATCGAGTACGTGAAGACTACGCAATTTGGTCAAGTGGACGGTTTGTCAAGACTGATGAAGCAGCACCCAGTATCAGAAGAAGAAATGGTAGTCGCAGCAGTTGAAAACGATGTCTCAAGATTGCTCAAGGAATGCATAGGAAAACTACCGTTGACTCATGAAGATGTGCGAGTTAGCACAGAGAAGGATCCACTTCTGCGAGAAATCAAGTCATATGTGAAACACGGAAGATGGCCAGAGGTCGAACCCAAGCTGGCACCGTTTTTCAATAGAAAGGAAACACTGTCGATTGTGGAAGATTGTCTCTTGATGGGAGAAAGAGTTATAATCCCGAAAGAACTGAGAGCCAGAGTGCTCAAGGAACTGCATACTTGGTCACCAGTCCGAATCGTGAGGATGAAAAAGCTTGCTAGAAGCTATGTGTACTGGCCAAACATTGATGACGATTGCCAAAACATGGTGCGTAACTGTTCGAAGTGTCAAGAATATGCGAAAAATCCCATAAAAGTGCCATTGGAGTCATGGCCAACTCCTTCTCGTGCCTGGCAAAGAATACATGTGGATTTCGCTGGACCGATTTGTAGCTGCTACTACATGGTAATTGTAGATGCCTACAGTAAATGGCCAGAGGTTATCGAAATGAAAAACATTTCGGCAAATCAGACTGTAAAGGAGCTGAAAAAGGATATTTGCACGATATGGACTACCACAAACTATTGTCAGTGACAATGGAACTCAATTTACGGCAAGCCAGTTCAAAGAAATGTGCGAGGAAGGAGGAATAACGCACATAAGAACCGCCCCGTACCACCCACAGTCAAACGGACTTGTGGAACGTTTCGTGGATACGTTCAAAAGAGGAATCAGAAAACTCAAAGGGGAAGAGAGACCCTCAGAGGACACGATCAATGTCATACTGCAAGCATACCGAACCACTCCACACAGATGTCTTGAAGACAGAACTCCAGCAGAGATGTTCCTCGGAAGAAAACTTCACACGCGCTTTAATCCTTGCTCTTGCCTACCGACGAAACATCAGCACGGACGTACGCCGAAGAAAATCGAAGGAAGATGAAGCAACAATACGATAAGAGGAACAGTACCATTCCAAAGGAATTCAAAAAGGGAGACGACGTGTATGTTCAGGTGTGGAAAGCCCCACACTTCACATGGAAGCAAGGAGTTGTCGCAGAACGACTTGGGAAAGTTAACTATGAGGTCGTCGTTGAAGGAAGGCTGATGCGGAAACACGCTAATCAATTACGACACAGCAACACAACCGCAAGCTGTAGTGGTGAAAACAATTCGTTGAAAACCCTGCTCGACGTGTTAGAATTGGATGACAATAGGCTAAGAAGCAACGACGAGACTGCTAGTGACTTGGACGTCAACACCGCTCTACCGTGCTCTCCAGAACCATCAATGCGACGATCGACTAGAATACGAAGACCTGTGAAACGATATGGCATTGATGTGTAGATTCAAATTATGAATGTTTTTGCTTCCCTTGTAAGTAGAAAGACAAATATTGTTGTTCAAATCCTCCTTGTCTTTCTACTCTGAGGGGCGACTTGAAGTGTTGTCGTTAGAGGAATGAGTACCATCTCTGTTATTAAAAGACTGAATACACCTCTGCGCACACCTCTATTTGAGAGACTGCTTATTTAAGACGCGAGAGTATCAGCTTGTGAGTCTCCAGGTAATAGTCCAGTGTTCGAGTGTTTTAGAGTCACTATCTATCGTCTGCTGCGCTTCATCATAGCATCGCGCCGAAGATAACACATTTCATGCAACGCTCGGAGAAAAACTAAGTTCGATCACCAAATACTCGTTTAAGACACCACTCCCTACGAAGGACAACCCAGAAGTCAGGGATCCAACAGGGCACATTTCAAAAAATCGGTCTATACCTCTATCATTTTGATTTGGGGGCTCTTTAGGTGCACAGACGTGCACTGCGACTTTACATGATAGCGAGACACCCTTGAGGCTGCCTTCATGCTTCATATTTTGCGGCAGCTTCACCAGCGTACTGCAGCGTTTCAAGCGAACGCCAGCGCTAGCGACCAGGAAAGTACAGATATCGATCCAGCGAACGCAAGCATCCACCAGCGTTTGCCAGCGTGTCAGGAGTGGAGAGTATGGGGAAGTAGGAGGGTAGCAGACACCTGGATTACGCGTCGTGAAATTGTGGCGTGTGCAACTGCACCATACAGCATTGTTGCAAATCCTGTGCTTAAGCAGTTGTACGGTGCGGTTGAACACGACGCCTACTCCAACTGCCTGCTACCCCCATGCTCGCCCATACTTTCCACACTGGATGTTGGTGAACGATGGCATACACTGGTGGACGGCGTCGCAGCGATCGATCGATACTATGCTTTCCTAGCCGTCGGCGCTGGCGTTCGCTCGCCAAACGCTGCGCCTACGCTCGCTTGACGCGAAAAGTGCTGAACACAGGCTGAGAGTTACTTTCGGGGAGAACGTGAGAGATACTGATGATCCGGCGATTTATACTGGTTTCGCCAGATTAGAGAACGAAGACTTTCACTAACGCTTGTTGGAAGTTTACGTTCGGTAAGGAGAACGAACGTCGCAGTCCGCCTCCAACAGTCGCCAGGGAGCTGGTGTTACTCAGGTTGGACCAGAAGACTCACCCATGTCTCTGCCAGTGAAACGAATCGTATGGAAACTACGGTGTACACTCAGCCAGTGAAGTGACGAGGGCAGCTTACACGACGGCCTTGACCCAGATGATGCAAATAAGACAAAATGAGAGAGCGGATTAGCGGGGAACCCTTTTCCACATTTGAAAAAGAACTTGAGGCGTGGGAGAGGGATTCTTTCTCACATGCCATATAGCCCTGGTATGCCCCATCTGGAGTTCATTTTTCCGGTCCGTCAATACTCATTGGATTTTATCACATCAATGTCCAAATCTGGATGTTCAAGGTCTTCGGCTCACAGCAAAACGAGTTCTTGTGAGGGATAGCTATTACTCGAAGTTACAATAAAATTTGTTTTGTAATCAGAAGCGCAATGACACTTCCTCAACCCAGTACAGCTTTATTTCCAGAACTTGACTGCAAAAGCAAAAGAGCGGAAAGAAACCAATACCTCAAAACTTGGAATTATAGGCTGTATTCCTGACGGGAGACCGACTGTGGTTCAACTAATAGTATTTACTTTTGTCATTTGGCATTTGTGTCATATGGTTTATTTACCGCCGTACACCGTACGCATTCATACTTTTGGACTTCATCAATGTCACATTTTGTCTTCACATCTTGAAGTCGCTACGATTACCCAGCGTGAAGGTAATTCCGGTTTTCTCCCTATTGAAAGAAAGAAACGTTAGTGATCTAATTCGCGCTTTAATTCGTGAGATAAGTTTGCTTTTCAGTGGATCTCAGCGCTGATGCTATGCATGTTCGTTTACGATGTGGTGATGGTATTCGTTACCCCATTCCTCACTCGTAGTGGTTGCTCTGTGATGGTGGAAGTGGCAGCAGGTACTATTTGCTCAAGCAGCGGTAATGATGGTTACCCTATGCTCCCTGTAAAAAGGGGATTTTTTTTTTGCCCCAAACAAGGTTACCTGAAAAAGTGAGTAAAGGTTTCAGATAGTCAAATAGCACCTCCCATTGACCCGCTTCTTTTCAGTTTCCCATGTTAATGCAAGTGCCACACTTTGATCCGATGATATCATGTGTTGATCTAGATATTGAGAAAGGCTTCCACATGATAATGCTTGGCCTAGGCGACATTATTATACCAGGTTGGTTTTTTTTTTTAGCTAAAGAGTTTACATGTCTTGGAAATTTTTTGCAACCAGTGCCCCGCATTGATATTGTTGTGGGACGAGGAATGTGTGATTATGCTTAGAATTGCCTCGACAGTACAAGGTCTAGTTCGCTGCGGACGAAGGTGCGTGTCAGACGTGATGAATTTGGCAAGCTGCCAAACCCGTTCTCCACCAGTTAGCGAGCAAGTTACAAGGCTGTGTCACTTCGTTCGTATTATTCGTTTTGTACCAGTTACCAGTTGCGCCGCATACAAGCTTCAATAGGTGACAGAGGACGAGTTGTGGACATTCATACTGCCTGAAACGCCCCTTCATCTGCAGCGAGCCACCCACAGTGGTAATTTTAAGCGGACCTATGGACACATTGAAAAACAGTATGAAAACGTCTATTTGCACTAAAACTACCACTACTAGCAGATTGATAATCACCCCATATATGTGATTCGCTTCATCTGTTTGTTGTTTGCAAGTTTGCTTTGTCTGTCCGGAAATTCGGTTCGACCTGAAGAACGACTTGGAGAGAGGTTCCGCAGAAAAATGTTCATAATTCGCTTCCGGAGCAGCTTAAAGATGGGGAAAAAGGGAATAAGGTTAGTAAGGAGTCGCCAGACTAACTGTGGCAGACACATCCAAAATGGGCGGGGCGTACTCAAGGTGGGCGGTGCTTCTCGCAAAATTCAGTAACCCGGTTCGCGAGAGTGTTGGCAAAACTCAGTGTAGAATGTAAATATCTGGCGAATATAGGGCACGCTCAAAGTGTGTTGAGACCCGCCCACAGTGGGCGGAGCTTGCCCTAAATCGCAGGGTATTCATTTTAAAAGTTTGTAGCTCGGTTCCAGAACACTCCGAAGACCGGAATAAAGTGAATTCAGGTCAGCAAGGGGTCGCCGATTAAGAAATGTGGGTATTATACATGTTGTGTTGTGAGCAGGGCCAGCCCGAGGTGGGCGGGCCAGACGAAAATTCTCTAAAACTGTACCCGAGCACTTTGAAGACCGGGAAAAAAAAACGTGGATTAAGGTCAGCAGAGGATCGCCGGTGAGGATTGTGGGGCACAAAAATTGGGGGCGGAGCCTGCTTCGAGGTGGGCGGAGCCAGACGAAAAATCTGTAAAATAGTTTCAGAGCACTCCAGACACCGGAAAAAAGCGGATTAAGGTCAGCAGAGGGTCGCCGGTGAAGACTGTAGGGCACAAACATTGTGGGCGGGGCCTGCTCAGAGGTGGGCGG